TCCTTTATTTCCTTTGTTAGATTGATTCCTAAGTATTTCATTTGTGTGTGTGTGTGTGTGTTTGTTATTGTGAAAGGTGTTGTTTCACTTTATTTCTTTTTCAGTGAATTTCTTATTTGTGTATGGAAATGATACTGATTTTCAAGTGTTGACTTTGTATCCAGCTATACTAATGGATATGGCTATTAAATCTGGAAGTTTTTGGGGTCTTCTATGTAAAGAATCATGTCATTCACAAACAATGATAATTTAACTTCTTTTTTTTTAATCTTCATTCTTTTTATTTCTTTTTCTTCTCTAATTCCTCTGGCTAATGTTTCCAGAACTATGTTTGTTGAATAGGAGTGGTGATAGTGGACATCCTTGTCTTGTTCCTGATTTTAGTGTGAGAGCTTTCAATTTTTGACCATTTAGTATTATGTTGGCTGTTGGTTTGTCATAGATGGCTTTTATCAGATTGAGATAAATACTGTCTATTCCTATTTTCTGTAGTGTTTTTTTAAAATCAGGAATGGGTATTGAACTTTATCAGATACTTTTTCTGTGTCTAATGAGATGATCATGTGAATTTTGTCTTTGTCTGTATTGATGTGGTATATTACATTTATTTATTTATTTGTGTATGTTGAACCATCCCTGCATCCCTGGGATGAATCCCACTTGGTCAGAGTGTATAATCTTCTCGATGATTTGCTGCATTTTTTTTTTGCAAGTATCTTATTAAGGATTTTTGCATCTTGTTCTATTTTCCTAATATGAGAATTTACCACTATAAATTTCCCTATTAGGACTGCTTTCCTTGGATCCCATAAGTTCTGGTATGTTATATCGGCATTATCATTTCATTGTATATAATATTTACTTTCATCTTTAATTTCATCTATGACCCATTGGTTGTTCAGGAGGTTGTTATTCAATTTCCATGTGTTTATGGAGTTTTTGTAGTTTCTTTTGCCATTGATTACAAATTTCATTGCACTATGGTCAGATAATATGCATGGGATAATTTCAATTCCTTTGCATTTACTTAAGCATATTCTATGGACTATTTTGGAGAAGGTCTGATGTGCAGCCAGGAAGAATGTGTATTCTAACATTATTGGGTGGAGCACTCTGTAGACATCTACTAAGTCCATTTGTTCACAGACTTGGTTTAATTTGTATATTTATTTGATATTTTGATATTTTTGGTTTTTTTGTCTATTTTATCTGTCTCTTTGTGATAGTGGGATATTGAGGGCCCCCATTACAATTGTATTAGTGCTTATTTGATTTTTCATGTATGTCCATTGATTTTTTTTTTACATAATTGGGTGCACTGGTATTTGGTGCATATATATTTATGATTGTTATGTCCTCCTCTTGTATTGTTTCCTTTAAAATGATGTAGTGACCTTTTTGTCTCTCTTAATCAATCTTGGCTTAAAATACACTTTGTCTGCTGATAGAATAACTACCCCTGCTATTTCCAGGTTCCTGTCACATGGAGTATTGTTTTCCATCATTTGACCTTCAGTCTATGAATTTTTTTTACTTAAGTGTGCTTTCTGTAGCAGCATACTGTTGGATCTTGTTAACTGATCCATTCTGTCAATCTGTTTCTTTTGATGGATGAGTTGAGACTATTTACATTGATGTATTGGCTTATCCTTGTCATATTATTTTCCTGTTGTGGGTTCCCCATCTTTGCCCTCTGTTTAATTGCTTGCCCTGCCTGGTGGCTTCCATCTATTGGTGTTCTTGTTATGGTGGTCTTCATTATCTCTTTCTAAAATATTCTTCACAGCATTTTATGGAGGTGGTTTAGTGGTCATGAATTTCTTTAGTTTTTCTTTGTCATGTCATTTCTCCTTGAATTTGAAAGATAGTTTTGCAGGGTGCATCAATATGGGTTGGAGGTTGTTTTCATTCAGAACATTAAATACTTCACTCCAATCTCTCCTTGACTTTAGGGTTTTCATTGAGAAATGCTATAATTCTGACAGGCTTTCCTTTATAGGTGATTTGTTTCTTTTCTCTAACAGCTTTTAATATTCTGTTCTTGTGCTGAATTTCTGAGCTCTTTATAATTATATGCCTTTATGCAGATTTATTTTGGTCATGGCTAATTGGAGTTCTATATGCCCTTACTTATTTGTGTGTCAAATTCTTTTTCCGTGTTAGGGCAATTTTCTGCCATTACATTTTTGAAGAAGTTTTTAATGTAATTTGCACTATCTCCTGCTTTCTCTTTGACCCTAATCAATCTTATATTGTTTTTCTTTTCGTTATGCAGCTGTTGTATTGATTTTTGGTGGTCTCTTCCATTTTTAAGATATCTTTCTTTTCATGGTTGTTAATTGTAATCCTGACTTATAGATCAGAAATTCTGTCCTCACCTTCATTCAATCTATTGTGCACACTTTCAATAAAATTTTTAATCTCCTGGATGTCTGTTTGAAACTCTTTCGTGGATTTCATTTCTTTCTTATGTTTGGCATTCATGGTTTCAGTCATTTTCCTAAGCTCCTCAATTTTTTCATCTGTGTCTACTCTAGAATCACTGAGCATGTCTTTCATTTTTATCATCATATATTTTTTACCTGAGAGATTATTTTCTCTATAACCTCATGCATATTTTTTTTTTACTTCTGCTATTATCATTTCAGAAATTTCAGGTGAGTGACTTCTAATTTCCTCTATCTTGTTTCTCCTGGACTTGTTATTGGTGGACTGGAGATCTGGAATTTCATTTTGCTTCTTTGTCTTGTCATTTTCTTCTTTTGGGGGGGATATTTTGTTTTCTGTGTTGATGCTTGTAAATTTCTTTTGGCAAATAGCTTTATCACTAGTAACAGGCTTTCCTGAGAAATTTCTATTCCACAGAGATATCTTCTGGGCATATGAGGTTCTTGATTTTTGTGTCTGTATCAGTATCCTCCCCTCCCCATTTATTAAGGATCAGAAGTTGCTATTTATTTGGCTCAGCACCCAGTCCTTTGGTACTGGGCTATGGTGATGGTTATGGTCACAGACAATCACAGTGTTGTCATACAATGGAGAACAACTGATTATCACAGGTATGCCATCCTGGCTAAAGTAGCTTAGAAACTGATAAATTGTAGTAACTAATAATTTGGTCTCTTTAACCATAATAGCAAGATCTACATAATAAACTTTTATTAATTATAGTCATCATACTGTATATTAGATACAGAACGTATTTCTCATGCATAAATAAAACTTTGTGGTCTTTGAAAAAAAAAGGATCTATAGTTATATAACACAATCCAACATAAACCAGGAACTTATGTGCAATGAGTTTCCACTCAATGGAGTGATTTTACCTTCTGCAGGCGTTGGGGGACTTAAGAGGGCTAGGGGCAAAGCAGAGAGATAAATGAAGGGAAATATAGTAGAGGCAAGGCTGGAGAACAAAAGATGATTACTAAAACTTTGGGAACCTGAAGAAGAGGGCAGGAGAGAAAGCATCAAGAGTAAAGCAAAAGAATATCAGAGTGAACAAAAAAAATCAAAAGATTATTTTCACTCACATGAAAATATCTTAAACTAAAAGAAGTTGTTGAGGAAAGAGAGAAAGGAAATGAGTAGAGCAATATAAAAATAAAGGCAAAAACCTAAACACCAAAGGGGGGACAGACAGTAAAAGGAAACAAAGCAAACAAAGAAAAAAAATTCCTCTGGAGTCTACAGTTCTGTGGTAGAGTCCAAGGCAGGTAGTGTACCAAAACTGTGCTGTGTATCCCTGCCAAGTCTGCAGTAGGAATAGTGCTGGGTACCAGGCTGATCTTGTGGGAGTTGGGGCCAGTCTTAAGCCAGTATCTTCTTGGATATCTCTACAGCCCACCCAAGCCTCTGTACCGTGGTTTGCTGTGGCTCCCTCAAGCAGAGAGAGCCTGGGGCTCCTAACCAGTCCTGTGTACAGTTGGATCCACTGAGGCACAGCCTCTTCTATTTCATCCCCACTGGCATATTTCTATTCCACTGCTTGTCGCAGGGCACGAATGGGGGCAGGAGTGGGGTACAGCCCAAGGATGTTAGGTTCTGCTTCAATCTCCTCTCCAACAGGTTAAGTGCTGACTGGTAGTTGTTTAAATCCCATACATCAAGTCTGAATCTTTCAAGCCACTGTTCTCTACTCCTTTCCCTGCCTCAGCTGTGCTACACTCCCTAACTTTGTGGTTGCTGGGTTTTCCAGTTATCTGCTAGGGCATACAACAGAAGAAAAAGAAAAAGGAAAGGGGCTGGCAGTCCATCTGTTTGGGAGGGAGCAGATTATTTCTAGTCACTTGCCTCTGTGTGTGCCAGTGAAATTTGCTGCCAGGTTGCAGCGTCCTTTGTGTGGAGGAAGGCAAAAAAGGCAAGAGGCCTTTTCCCCCCAAAATCTATCCTGTGTGCCTTGAGTTAGCTGCATATTTTTATTCCATCAGTTTATTGGGGACTTTCCCAGTATGGCAATTCTTGCTCAGCACTGCTTGGACCATTGGTAGCCCTTGGGGCTGATGTGTTGTTTTATGAAGTCCTGTGCTTATGATTTACTTGATCTACTAGTCTCTTACTTCAGATTGATTTTGACATCAGGATGTATGCCTCTCCTTTTCTTACAATTACCTGTGTTTCTAGTTGATTTCTCTCTGAGTAGGTCCAACGTGACTCCTCCATTCAGCCATGTTGAATTCTAGCAAGTACTTCTTAGCAATACTTTATTTATGTGTGCTGTCACTAGGCTTTGCACAATGATTACAGAAAATGCTCAGGGAATGTTGACTTTAATTAATATTAAATGTTATGATAAATAAATGAAGTGCTTTTTGTCATTTGCCTGGAACAGTGCCAGTAATATTTCTCTTTTTTTCTTTAGTGTACTCCTATCTCATTCTTCCAACTCTGCATTCTTTCCATGAGAAAAGAATACTGATTTTATTTCTTTCTATTTCACATATTGCTTTAGGGTACTAACAGTTGCTGTTTTGCACTTGTCATCTGTTTACTTATTTTAGGTCACTGGCCCTATTCATACCAGAGATACCCCTGAGCCAACAGACAGAAGTAATATTGCATCTCCATCACTTCTGGATGCCAGCCCTATGGAGAACCCAGAACTGTTTAATGACATCAAGATTGAGCCCCCAGAAGAACTTCTGGATAATGACTTCAACCTGCCCCAGGTGGAACCAGTCGACCTCTCCTTTCACAAGCCTAAGGCTCCTCTCCAGCCTGCTAGCATGCTTCAACCTCCCATACGTCCTCCCAAACCACAGTCTTTTCCCCAGGCCCCTGTAGTGTCCACTTCAACATCTGACATGATCACTCCAACTAACATTCCTACTGTTCTTGCTCCAAACTCTATTCTGCCCTCCTCTCAGGGTACTGGTGGCCAACAGTTCTTACATGTGATACACACTATCCCCTCAGTCAGTCTCCCAAATAAGATAGGTGGACTGAAGGCCATCCCAGTAGTGGTGCAGTCTCTACCCATGGTGTATGCCAGTTTACCTGCAGATGGGAGCCCTGCAGCCATTACAGTTCCACTTATTGGAGGAGATGGCAAAAATGCTGGATCAGGTGAGCATCAATATTTCCTTTTTCTTGGACCGTACTCATCATTCTAATGCATTTTTGAGTAATCTTACCTCTTGTCTCTTTTCACTTCCCTCCAATTATTCTTCACACTGTTTTGAAAGTAATCTTTTACATTGATTTTATCCAGGCTCATTAATACATAAAAATGCACAATGAGTCTCTTGCTTAGATCATACTTCTAAGAAAGGCACACATATCCATGAGTGATATATTTTACATTTTTCTAGAAGCTTTATACTCTTTGATATTCAATAATGTAAAGCATTATGTATTTAAAATATGATTTTTACATAAAGATGCAAAATTTACATAACTTTAAGATAAATCACAAACTGAAAATAGCTTAAATTTACTAAGGAACCCACCTGGGGATTTTCTTTTGTTTATTTTTTATTAGTAAATATTTGTGACATGTAATAATTACAATCATATTGTGGAATTGGTACATATACATATTGCATCCTAATCATATTGAATTTCCTTTTTTCTTCTCCTCTCTCTCAGCTCTACTCTCCTAGATCTCATCTCCACAAAGTCTACTTCCCTCTTTCTAATCATCTATCTTATTTTGCACTTTAAATTATTTATATTTTTGGTTTCTGGCATAAGATAAACTATGCAGTATTTAACCTTCTGTGTCTGATTTATTTTAATTAGGACTATGGTCTGTTATGGTTTAGATCTAGAATGTCCTCTCAAAGACTGATGTGTTCAGAGGTGGGGCTTTTGGAGAGTGATTGGATCATGGTGCCACTATAGCTGACTATAGCTTTTAGGTGGTAGGGCTTGGTTGGAAGAGGCAGGCCACTGGAGGTGTAACCTGGAAGGGTACATTTCCCTCCATGGCTCCTTTCCTCTTTCTTGAATTTTTGGCTGTCATGGGGTGAGCAGCTGTCCCATACCCAGGCCCTTTTTGCCATGTTGTTTCTGACTTGGACACAGCTGACCATGGAATGAGAATGTGAGCAAAAATAATCCTCTCCACCTTTAAGTTGTGAGTATTGTGTACTGTGTTTCAACAATGAGAAAAGTGATTAAGACAGAGTTTAGTGCCAGAGTGGAGTCATTGGTTTAACTATACATGACCATGTGGTTTAGAAGCCTTGGAAAGGGTTTGTGGGAGAAGTTTAGAAAGGTTTGGAAATGCCTGCTAGAGAAGCTGTAGAATGTTATAAGCCAAGGAAGTATTGGTCAGAGTTCTAAAATCCAGAATGCTGACAGAAATATAGTAATGGCCAGGCTCAAGAGCATGCAGTAACAAAAAACTGTTGTCTACATTTTGCCCATGTCCTGAGAATTTTCAGGAGACTGAGATTCAGAGTGGTTGACTAATTAATCTGGGTTAGGAAATTGCAAGGCACCCCAAAGTTCAGACTGTAGCTTAGTTACTGCTGATAACTTTAGTGAGATATACCTTGAGAATAAGGAGCAAAAGACAGGACCAATGGATGTACAGAATTTCTAGTTTTTTAAGGAAATACATACATAAAAAATTGGGGCCACAGAGTTAACTAAAAAATTAACACTAAATAGAAGTCAAGTACTTTTAATCAAGACAATATAGGAAAGGTGGATTAAGAGTATCTCAGGACTCAAGAAGACTGCTCTCTTTGCAGGTTCAAAGGTGAAAAAGTGAGCTACTTTGCTTCAAGAAGGGAGTCCTAGGGAGCTCAGTTCATTTGGGTCCAATTAGGAAAGAGTTTCCTGGAGATCAGCCATTGAGGTACTCAAATGCCTCTGCAGCCATGATCTAATGGGGCCTAGATACAGCTCAAGCTGGTAGCATACCTTGACATTGTCCACATGGGCCTGGATTTATGTGCTTGTACAATGCAAGAGTTGTGGGACAGAGATGCTTTCGCCCAGATTTCAGAAGAAGCCCTGGGCGTCTAAGCAGTGTGCCTCTGAGAGGCAATACATGAAGTGGTAAGAATAAAGTCAAAAGTGCAGTGGAGATTCCAGGAAGTTGGAGATGCCAGAAACATGGAGTGTTGCTGAGGAAAGCATCAGACCGGTTGTAAGCAAAAACATGAGGCCTGCACTCTGCAATGTCTAGGGGCAGGACTGCACAAGCCCTTTGGAGCTTATATCTTGCTACTATGCGCACTGCATACTGGATATCAAAATACAAGATGTAATGCCTGCCCTGCTGGTTTTTGGTCTTGCTTTAATGCCATTTCTTTCTATCCCCTTATATATTCATTTTGGATTGGGAATGTTTACACTGTGCCATTTTATGTTGGAAATGTTTAACTCTCCTTTTGATTATTATAGGGGTTTACAGCTAAGAGTTTGAATTGAATGCAAGAGGAAGCTTAGATCCAATACTGAATCTATTAAAAGTTGGTGACTCTTAGAGATGAATGAGGTGCATTTTGAATAAAGAGATGGGAATGAGTCTTTTTCGGTCCAGGGATGATGAACTGTTATGGTTTAGGCCTAAAATGTCCCCCAAAAGACTCAAGTGTTCAGGGGTGAAGCTTTTGGAAGGTGATAGAATCATGGGGGCCCTTATCACTGACTAGAAGGTGTGGCTTGGTTAGAAGAACAGGTCACTGAGGATGTGACCTGTAAAAGTATATCTTCCACCCTGGCTCCTTCCTTCTCTCTCTGCTTCCTGGATGACAGGAAGAGCAGCTGTCCTCTGCTCAGGCCTTTTCACCATGCATTTTCTGCCTTGGAGCCAGCCAAATATGGGCTGAAAATGTGAGCTAAAATAAACCTTTCCTACTTTAAGTAGTGGGTGTTGGGTGTTGTACCTCAGTGACAATAAAAGTGACTAAGCACAGTCTCAAGGTGCATCAGTTTTCCTACAAATGACTAAAATTTATCTTTTTAGTGGATAAGAAGTACTCCAGTGTGTATGTATACTACATTTTCTTTATCCTTTCATCTATGTATGGCCTTTATGCTGCTTCCAAGATTTAAATATTGTTGACTGTACATATATAAATATGCATATGTGTACGTTGCTATAATATATTATCAACTACTTCAAGAAAATATCAAAAGGAGGCATATCTGGTTCAAATGGAACTTCAACTTTTAGTTTTTTGAGGAATCTTCATGCTGATTTCCACATTGGTTATACCACTTTACATTCCAAACAACAATGTAAGATACCTTTTTGTCTACAACCTTGCCAAGGTTTGTTGTTTTTTGATTTGTTGATAATAGCCATTCTTTGTGCAGTAAGATGGAATCTCAGTGTTATTTTCATTTGCATTTCTCTAATGACCAAATATGTTTAACATTTTTTTCATATATTTATTGGCCATTTGTACTTCTTTCATTGAGAAGTGTCTATTCATTTCAATGGCCCATTTTTTCACTGGCTCCTGTATTTTGGGGAGTTTTTTTTAAGTTTTTAAAAAATATATTCTGGACATTAGTCCTCTGTTGAGATGTACCTGACAATTTCTTTCCCATTCTGTAGAATGTCTCTTCATGCTTTTGATTATTTTCTTTGCCATACAGAGGTTTTTGATATAATCCCATTTGAATATTTTTGTATTATTGCTTTTACAATTGAGGTTCTGTTCAGAAAGTTCATGTCTATGATTATATCTAAAAGAGTTTTATCTATTTTATCATCAAGTAGATTCAGCGTTTTAAATTTTAATATCTAGGGGGTTTTGTCCAGTTTGATTTGATGTTAGGACGGGGTGTGAAATATTGGTCTAGATTCATTCTTCTGAATGCAGATAATCCATAATCCCAGTACCATCTGTTAAAGAGGCTATCAGTTTTCCAGCACCTTTATTAAAGATTGTATGGCTAAATGAACCTGGGATTGTTTCTGCATCATCACTTCTATTCCACTGATCTATTGTCTGTTTTTGTGCCTGTATCATGTTGTTATTACTGTAAATTTATGGTGTAACTTTAAATCAGAGATTGTGATGTCCCCTGCTTTGACTGTCTTAGTTGGAATTACTTTGACTATTCTAGGTCTCTTCTGCTTCCATATAAATGTTAGGAATTTTTATAGTCCTGTGAATAATGTTGATGGTATTTATTTATTCAATCTATATATCATTTTTGGTAATATGACCATTTTGACAATATTGGTTCTCTGTATCCAAGAATAGGGAATAGCTTTCCTATTTTTAATATCTTTCAAAATTTTTATTTTTATATAATACAAGTAGATATTAATAAAGAAAATAAGACAAATCTTTTCCTACTTCTATGAAAAAAACCCAAAAAATTTCATAACAATATAATTATAAAACAGCAATAGTTAATATACTATGTATCATGACCTTAAAGAATGGCCAATAAATTACTCAGAGTGCAAATCATAGACAGAAGAATTCTCTTACAAAGAAGAAACAAACGAAAGTACAAAAAGTTTTTTTCAATGAACAAAAGGAACTAATATAAATAAAAAATTAGCATTTATCTCTAAAGATTTTTAAAATCTCTTTTTACAGAGAACCATAGTTTTGATTGCAGAGGCCTTTTATTTCCTGGGTTAGGATAATTACTAATAATTTAATTTTTTTGAACCTACTGTGAATGGGATTGTTTCTCTTGCTTTCTTAATGTGTTCATTGTTGTGTACAGAAATGCTATTGATTTTTTTGTATGGATTTTGTATCTTGCTACTTGCTGAATTTCTTTATTAATTCTGAAAGTCTTTTGGTAGGGTTATTTGGTTCTTCTATGTAACGGATCCTATCATCTGTGAATAATATAATTTAACTTCTTTCTTTCCTATACATATCTTTTTTATTTGATTCTCTTGCCTGATTGCTCTGGCTAATGCTTTGAGTACTATATTGAACAGGAGAGTTTAAAGAGTGGATACATATGTCTTGTTCTTGATTTTAGAAGAAATGCTTTCAGTTTTTTCCCAATTAGTATGATGTTGGCTGAGGTTTGTCCTAAATAGCTTTTATCAGTTTGAGGTATGTCCTTCTATATCTATTTTCATCTGGGTTTTTCTCAGGAAGAATATTGGATTTTGTCAAAGGCTT